CAGAAGCCTTACCACCAATGTGATGTAAGCTCTGCAGCACCCAAGTTCAGCAGCAGAACTGCCCTGTTGGTGCTGGGCAGCATGGCACAGCTCCTGGCCCAGCCTACTCGTGGCTGATTCCATAGGTTCCCACAGGCCAGCTGCCGCCCCTGCCCTGCTCTGCCCGGACTTTGCCCAGCCGAGGCCACTGCCAGGCAAATGTGGCTCACAGGCTGTAAACATGCACCGTCGCTGTGAGTTCCCTCTGCCCATGTGCTGCCCTGGCTGGGGAATGTGCTCCCCAGTGTGCACCCTCCACAAAGCACCGGGGGCTGCCCAGGCCTCCCCATCTCCATGCATCCCACCTGCTGGCTGAGCCATGCTGTGCACCCACTGCTCTCATGGGGACACTCCTGCCCCTAGAGGGCAGGGAAACTGAAGTATTACCTCACATTTTTCTTCTAAATGCTGCAAGCTACTTCCAGCACAAGGAGGTTATTTTGAGGCTCCACAGCTATTCCTGGTGGGGTCTAGAGCCAATGGGGCAGGGATGGGGCTGGCAGCCCCACCAGGGATGCTCAGGCCCATGGCTAGCACCCCACACAGTTCCCTCTTCCCCCCAGTACTTCAGCAGGGTCACTCACCCCATGCAGGCTGGCTGGCTGCTCCGGAGGGGTCAGCTGGGAGAGCCAAGAGGGGAAATCCTTCTGGGGGCTCTGAAACACATCCAGAGGGTCACACAATGGTGTCCCTGATACCACCTCCATCTCTCACACCATGCAGTGTGCTGTGTGGTTCAGAGCCCAGCTGTATTTATATTGCTAGACATATAAGTGTCACTTTACCATCATTAAAGGGAACTTTGTGTTTTGAGTGGTTGTTTGCCACCCTGTAGTTGTCGCAGAAACCTCCAGCTCCAGCCCTGCTGGTCAAACATCCACCTTTGGAATAGGCAGGGTTTGAGCTGGCTGGAGCTACCCCTCCCCCTGGCTCCCAAGTGCCCCAGCAAAGGATAAAGGGCTTGGACCCACATCCTTGTGTCCCCTGGAGGGAGCCTGAAGCCCCCATAGCTGCAAGGAGCAACACCTGGGAATGGTGGCCTGGCCTGGACCCAGGGAGGGCAGCTCCCACTTGCTCACCTTCTGTCCAGGGGGGAAAATCTGCAGCTCCTCGATGGTGAAGTGGAGCCAGACTGGGGAGGGCTGCCGCAGGATGAACCGTATTGCTGTCACCTGGTCCATGTCACACAGCATCTGCTGGGGCAAGGATGGGGACAGTGGTCACCAACAGGGGCTGGCCAGGCCTATGCTGCTCAGGGACAGCTTTTGGGATTGG